ATGAATCAGGTGGCGGGGAAGGATGCTGAACAGACCCGACACACCCAAACATGATCTGGAACATCTGACCCTGTTCCAGAGATCTTCAACTTCCACCTCCAGCAGAACTTTGGCAGCTTTCCGAGGGAGGCTGGGAACCATGTTCTCCACCTTCATTGCCGAGGCAGCTGCAAGGAGCTTCATGCTTGTCCCCAAACCACATGGTGGATACTGGAGGTGAAGGAAGCATCAAGCTGAAGATCATAAGCTGATTGCGTCGCTCAGTGCACTAGGCCAGATGAGGAAAAATCAGTTTCTAACTCCAGCTTGTTGCTGCGGTGAATCACCTGTAAACTGAGTCAAACAGGCTCTCGTCCACACCGTGCTCATTCATAAAGTCCTTTACAAAACCGAACATTAGAGCAAACAGCTGGATTTTCCCATTTGAGTGCAGCCGAACAAACAATGAAGGGCCAAAAAAGTGGACAGCATATCCTTGGTTTTAACATAAAGCTCATTGTTGCAGCCAGGGGCAGCACAAAAGTGATCCTTTTAAACAGATTTTCAGTCCCCTTGATTTCCACTGAGTTATCAGTTCTGTCACTAGTTAGCCAACATAAACTAATGCAAATCCAATCCGGTGACGTAACATTATGTACTGACATCATTCTGATGTAAATAAACCTTTATATGTGTTTCATGTCCTCTTTAAACATCTCCTTGGTAGCCAGGCCTAAGGGGTGGACGAGGTTTCCTAGAAGCTCTGGATGTTGTAGGGCATTGTTGGCTCCCACACCTCTGACATGTCATGTGGAGATCTGAAGCAGTGCCACTGGATTGGCAGACTGAGATGGTGGTTTTCATTTTTAACAAGGGGGGACCAGTGGGTGAGCTTCAACTACCAGAGGATCACGATACTCAGACACTATGCCAGGGTGCCGGAGAGTTCATCCTGCGGGGGATGGTTGGGAATGTAGGGTGTCTGGCTCATTGCTATGGGCCATTCGGTCCCTGCATAACCATTCCTGGAGCTCGGTCCACATTGCCAGCAAGTCCAAGTAAGTTGGACTCGTTCCTGGTGCGTGTTGGACTTTGCCAGCAGTTTTATTCATACTTTTTATGGATCGAATTACTTTGTCAGGTGGTGGACGGTTGCACTTTGGTGGCCTCAGAAGCTCATCTCTGTTTTTTGCAGATGATGTTGCTTTGTTGACTTCACTGGATAGTTCGCAGTCGAGTGTGAAGTGGTGGGAAGGAGAATCAGCACCTCCAAGTCTGAGGCCATGGTCCTTAGCTGCAAAAAAGTGGAGTGCCTTTTGCGAGTCGGGGTCCAAATGGGAACACAGCTGCAGTGATCTGGGCACCACATTGGTCCATCGTGGTAAAGAGAGAGCTGAGCACAAAAGCAAAGCTCTTGATTTACCAGTCGAGTTACGTCCCTACCATCATGAGTTCTGGGTAGTGACCAAAAGCATGAGACTGTAGTTACAAATGTCAGAAACTGTTGGCCTCTTTGTTAGCGATAGGGTGAGGAATTCAGCCATCCGAGATTGGCAGTCAAAGTAATTCAGGGATCTGGCAAGGATGCCTCCTTGGAGAGGTGTTTTAGGTATGTCCCACCAGAAGGGGGCAAGAGCAGACCCAGGCCATGGGAAAAATCTCTGTGTTCCACTGGATAGGCTGGATGAATTGGAGATTCAGATTCTTTTGACTAAATAAATTAATATTCAGTGGTCTTATCTTTGCAGCATTGAGACATTTTGATGCAGGAAGCTGCAGTAGTGACATTTCCAAATGCTTTTAGCTTTTATTTGTTTGTTACTTTTTTTTGGGGGGGGGGTCATGTTAAATGAGCTGATGAGGTTGTTGGCAGATTTGCTCACCTCAGAGATAATGGGAACACCCATGTGGGCCATGTTGGAAATGATGTCACTGTCCTCCGGTGGGATGTTAGCATGCTGCAGGAGCTTACACAGGTTCTCCTCAGTCACACCTGACACACACAGTGAGACGCACAAATGCATGCAGTACAAATACCCGGTCCAAACATGCAATTCACACGCATGGGAACATGCATGTTTAGAAAAAAAAAGAATGAATTGACAAAAGAAAATAAATCAAAACCTGAGAATACACGTATGAAAAATTAAACTGTAGCAATAGGACACTGTCTAAGGATAAAACTGAAAGACTGGTAGTGGGCTGCCCGTCTTTCATTTGCAGGTGATCCGATAGATAAAAACTAAAAACAGGATGACGGTGGATATCTGACCATTCTTAAGGAAGATGTAGAGCAGGATGATGCGGATCTTGTCGGACACATTGACATTGGCATCCAGCAGAATGGGGACAATGAGCCTCATGGGATCCTTGATCTTCTCACCTTCTGCATCTGTTCCCATTGCGAGATCCTTCAAAATAATGGAGAACATTATTAGAGTGGTTTCTTGCTGCAATTAATGCCAGTCACTGGTTAACACAGTAACAGGAGACTAAGGTCACAATTCTAAGCTGTATTTCATTTGTAGTCTACTAAACGTGATGTCACAGGAGATGTTAGAGAATTAAAATTTTTAAAAGTGATTCAATGATAAACAGGAGAGGAGTCTAATGAGTTTAAACGGGCCTTATCTTTAATTACGCTAACATACCTGAAAATACAGTGTTAAAAAAGTTACACTGAGTGGACAGGGCGGAAATGAATGAATAAATGGATGCAGCATAAACTAAGAACAATAATACTATGGAAAAAAAAATGTCACTATACAGGGTAGAAGAGACAGATAGACCCAGCATCTAGTAGCCATCCAGTGCAGACATCCAAAAAAGAATCTCAAGCATAAAGAGTCGAACACCACCGGGCCCTGACATGATTCATGTCTGGCTAAAGAAGCTAACTGCACTGCATGAGCATCTGGTAGCACATCTGGCTTACCAAGGAGCTACAGTGCAGAAGCCACAGGGATCCTCGGTAACAAGGCAGCAGACTGTGCTGGCAGCTGGCTGCGCCAGAGCAGACTGAGCCCCGGGCCCAGAGACCCGAGATCCAAGGGGCCTCCACACCCTGGAAGGGGTCTGACTGAGCCAAGGTCCCGCCAAGCAGCCGCCAAGAGTGAACCAGTACACACCCGAGCCCCCAGCTTCGGACACCAAGAACCACCAACGCACCAGTGGGTGGGGGCATCAGACACTGGCAGGGAAATAGTGGGTGGGGGAAAATAGGCCCCCCACCTGTCGGGGCCTGAGATGTTCTCAGAGGTGGAGTCTAACCCTTGACCTGACACATAAACTTAGACAAACAGACACACACAGACACAAACATGCACACATATAGGAATACTCAGCACTCAGCCAACATGGAGACACAGACATGAACACTGTACACACACTCACACTCCTCCAAACATACTCTGTACTCCCAGATCCAGGCATCATCTCCCCCAGAGGGGCGATCTGTGCCAGACCCAGGAGATGCTTCCCTGTCCTCTGGGGTGGAGATGAGCAGACCGCCCCCGGTACTGCAGCAGCAGGGAAGCCCAACAGCCCAGACCCCGACCAGGATATCTTAATAGATTATTTATCAGAGTTAGTCTCAGAGAATAACAAAATAGCAACCAGGTTTTTTTAGTCTGGCGGCCCAACAGAAGTGTGTAACATCCGGTGTCTTCTGGAAAACATATA